CCTGGACCCCCGCATTCCTTTCAAGGCAGTATACCGGGCTGTGGGAGCAGCAGAAGATTAAAGGGGGAAAAAGAAGGAAGAAAAGGGACGAGTAGTCGGAGTGGGAGAGGGAGAAGGGGCCCGTCCCGCACCGGCATCTGATTCACTGCGGCGAGGAGGAGAAATTAAAAAGAAAATAGGATTCCATCCGAGTGCGCCGCTCGGGGGCGGCCGGGCCGGCGGCCACATCCTGGAGAGGACCCACGGCCTCCGCCTCTCTCGCCGGCCCTGCGGTGCCGCATCGTGCACCCTACACAGGATGTGGCCGCCGCACCGCAGCCGTGACGGGGGCACCCGCTGACCAGCCGGGGCCGGGGCCAGGGCGGAGGCGGGCGCCGACGATGCACGGCAACTGGTGAAGATCCAAGGGGTGCATCTGAGTGAGTGACAGAACAGGCCCTATCACACCCGTATCACCCCCCTGGCTCCACAATAAGCCGAGTCAAGTGGCGCTATCAGCCGCGCAGTGCCACGCCCCTAGGGGCTGTGCACCTTATCTGCATTATAGAGTTTTCACCTCGGAATGAGTTGCGGATTATTGAGTGGCCGTCAAAATTTAAAAGATTAGAATCGAACACACCGAGGACAAAGGAAATATGTCATTTCTCCAGTATCGACTGTTGGGCATATCGATCACTGACAGCCCATCGACATTCGACAATTTCAAGCAATTTCATGTTACTAAGGGTAACTACTTGCTACGGCCTGGGAGTGCTTGAAATTACGTTAATGGACAATTACTCCGAAAAAAGAAGTATTAGGAAAGTTCAATTGTCAGTGGGATGACTTATCTAGGGAGGTTTTTTTTGTGACCCTGAAGCACGCGTTACATTTGCGGCGCAAAAAGGCCTGCCTCGTTGAGTGGCGGGATGGCTACCCTTTATCGCACAGCAGGGGGGGGGGCGGGGGGAGAACGAGAGCAGGGAGTAACAGTCAAATGAGACACTCGACAAGACAGCGAACTGTCAACTCAAAAGTGTACATTGTACACTGAGCAGTGTGCCGTATTTACTAGTGCTTGCTTACACGGCATGCGCCACGCTGTGTACCAAAGCGCACACGTGGCACCACAACCGACCACAAGTCGAGGGTCACAAGTGACACCTCCTAGAGCACAAAGCTGGCAAGCTGCGTGTTCGATCCACAACTAGGGGATTTGATTAAGCCGAAGAGAGCCTGAAACGGCGGAGACCGAGAGAGAAACTTTCCGCCGCCTGCGAGGCGTCGCTCGGCACACTCGAAAAGAGCAGGGGATTCTATGGAGTAATTTGCATTGGTCAAAGACCGATTGAGGGGTTTCGAAAATACGTTGTTGGTAATTGAATTGGATACTGTACTGGGTGTCAGCACGCTGTTCACTGCGCCTAGCTGCAAAGAGATCCGCCAGGAATAGACTCACTCCGCACGTAAAGTGCACAGGGTGTACAGCGAGAGCAATGCGGCACATTGTATAGTGAGCGGCGCGTGGCGCGGTTCGCCGGCCAGCCGGCCCGGGACGCGACCAGTTAGCTTCCGGCCGCAGCGGGCGACCTCCGCCGCGCCCCGGGCCTGCTCATCGTGTGTGCGACTCACAAAACACGCCATAAAACACCCCAGAGAGTGCTGTTGCACACCAGGAAAAGATTGGCTATATAGCTAAACAAAATAAGAAAATGGCAAAAAATTTAGCTATGTAGCTAGAAATTTAGCCATGTTGCCAAAAATTTAGCTATGTAGCTAGAAATTGAACTATGTAAACATAGTATACGTACGTAGCTAAATAATAAGTTATCCCTCATTTCGCTATTGGTTTCGCTATACAGCTCATCCTTTCTCTTTCACCAGCAATGTGAACGCCACGCCATGTAGCCACGCGTGAGGCCGCGCACCCACCGATAGCCGATGGACTTGCGTCCGACTGGCGTCCGGAGGCGGGCGGATCTCCACGCGACAGAGACGCGTGT